TATTGTTTGTGTTACTGCTGTTGTTGGCCTGTCTTCATCATCTTGGATTACTATTAAATATTATAGAGATTATCTTCGTCTTCGTGTGCCTTTCCTCGACCTGAGCGTGACAATATGGATGCACAGTTTTCCTGACTAGATTTTAATTTATCATCGCACATTTTTATTTTATCACATTTGCCACATTTTAATAGTGGCAACCATAATCACAGTCTTAAGATCTGTACAGTATAGAAACTAATCAGAATTGGAAGAAAATGTCAAATGAACTAATGAAAATAAATATTCCAAGTTAGCTTTGAGTGAGGAACAGAGCATGCTGTCTTAATTCAAAGTAAATTAATTCATAAAATGCTAAATATGGGGCCTTTAAAGGCATATTGTGATTAATCTGTGTAATTTCTGCAGTAATGTTTTGGTCTTCTTCTGATCAGAGAGTGCTTTTCTGACAGAGCTAGTTTGCGCTGACACAATTTAATAACATCAAATCATCTCTTAATGACTCCAAGCTGCACTCTAAATAAGATGAAACGTTCACATGGCTTCGGCACACAATTACAGGCCTTCATTTCATTTGCAGCTGAAAATTCATTCGGAAAAGATTTATTTGATAAAACACTTTCTGTTTTGACCCCACAGCAACTCAAATCTTAAACTACAATTCAAATGGGAAGAGGTTATTCAAAAATCACGATTCTTACTACCTTAAAAGTGGTGCATACAAATCAAAAAGTCAAACAGTAACCTTCTCAAACTCCTTTTATGCGGGTTGTGGGCAATATTAGACAATAATACTGTGCATGGATGCTTACATCAAAAATCCACCGGAAATAGTGTGCTGTGGACCTTTGGAAAGCTATTTTCAGTGTATTATGATTCGGGACGCACTAATCCCAATCTCGAATGCCATTTAGGACAGATATTGCACAAATTGTTATTCATCCCAGGTCATCTAAGGATCCTCATTAAATAAAAACCTCAAGCTAATGCGGCTGTTAAAAGGTCTACAGCAATTTAATTTTCCCCTGATATGAAAAACATGTCTAATAGGTCAGTTGTGATTTGAGTTACCGAGATTACTAAATCAGGCTTTCTTTTAAAAATAAATATTGTCCTTTATAATAAGAAGCTGTGATAGGAAAACTAATCATATGATATTATAAGAAACCCTTTGTTCGGTTGTTTGGCTTTGTTACCTAAATAAGAACTGGGACAGGAAAGATAACACACTCGTCTGTGTGTATCTCCACCATACATCCATCGCAGAATGAAAATGATCCAGCTATATTAAAGGAGTGTAGTTAACGGGGCAGAAGGGTTTGTTAACCCTGATGTATTAATGAGAGGACAGACTGCAGTAACAGGCTGTAGAGCAGGCTAATTAACTCATGAACACATGCACATCTCCAGAGTTCGCGTAGGGTCGTGTATGTTTGTGCGTTCTGTCGTATTATTTAGTGTAAGTAGTTGTACAGTGTTGCTGAGCGAGCCCTGGAGTAGTTGACCTGAATGAGAAAAGTGGCCATAGAAGAGGAATAGCCTGCTATAGCGCCCCTTGTGGCAGCACTGAGGATGCAATGCGAACTTTGTGTTATAAATTGGTCATTTTGTGCCTGCTTGTTCCACTGTTTCTAAAAAAAGAAAAACGCATTGAGTTATTTTAAATGCGCTCATAGGAATATCAAACATGAAAATGAGGAAAAAGTAAACCATTTGATGTGAGAGTATCTGAAAGCGATGGAAGCCCGTTTCCACCACAGAATAAAACTATTTTAAAAAAGTAACTGTGACTTTATCTCACAATTTTGACTTTGTTTCTTGGAATTCTGAGAAAAAAATTAGTGATAATTGCAAGATATGAACACAGAATTGCAAGGTATAAACTTTTATATATAAAAACATTTTTCTCGAATTTTTAAATATATATCTCGCAATTCTGACGTTTTCCCTCAGAATTCTGACTATATATATCTCACAATTCTGACTTTTTTTCTCTAAATTCTGAGATCTCGCAATTCTGACTTTTTCCCTCAGAATTCTGAGTATACATCTCGAAATTCTACGGAGCCCCTAAAGGGACATGGTGGTGGGAAAAAATTCGGGGTGGGAGGAAAAAAAAAATCTTTTTTTTTTGCGTTCTCTCGCAAAACTGTTGCGTTCCCTCAAGAAACTTTTGCGTTCTCTCGCAAAGATATTTGCGTTCCCTCGCAAAACCTTTGCGTTCTCTGGCATAACCAGTTGAGTTTAGACAAACACTTCCTGTTTACTTTACGCTTCCAGTGGTTCAGACAGCTCCGTACAGTCATAATGGAGCAGTTCATAGAGTTTTATTTTGAACTTGGACTGACGTATAAAGAAATACGGTCAGTGCTTTGTTCAAGGCACGGTTTTGACATCAGTGAAAGACACCTGAAAAGGATATTACGCGCAAAAGGACTGTTTCGACGGAAAAGTTACTCGGCCTTAGTGGACCTTGTTGATTTCATAAGTCATCAGCTGCAGTACTCTGGGCAACTTCATGGGTATCGATGGATGTACGCGAAATTTAGAGAGAAGGGTCTGCGTGTGAGAAAAGAGGATGTGCGCATGGTGCTGAAGGAATTGGATCCTGCAGGAGTTTCAGTGAGGAGAGCCAGACGTCTCAGACGGCGCAACTACTTTGCTAAGGGACCAAACTTTATTTGGCATTTTGACTCATACGATAAGTTAAAGCCATATGGCGTTTGTATTAATGGCTGCATTGATGGCTTTTCGCGTAAGATTATTTGGCTTAATGCCTACACAACTAGTAGCGATCCAACGCTAATCGGTGGTTACTATATTGAAGCGGTGGAGCGTTTGGGAGGATGCCCTAGAGTTGTTAGGGGGGGATCTTGGAACTGAAAATGGTCATGTAAGAGACTTTCAACGTTTTCTTCACATCAGTCAAGAAGATGAAACCCTTGACAGCTATTTGGAAGGTGCAAGTACTGCCAACCAAAGGATCGAGTACTGGTGGGGGTTTCTGCGCAAAGAGTGCATGGAATTCTGGATTTCCCTGTTCGCTGACCTTAGAGACAATGGATTCTTCGATGGAGGATTCTTGGACAAAAGTTTGCTCCAGTTCTGCTGCATGGGACTCATCCAAGTGAGTTTATCTGAAATTATGTTTTGATGCTTGTGTGTGTGTGTGTGTGTGTGTGTGTGAAAGAGAGGGAGAGAGAGAAAGTGGGAGACTGGGCAGGGCGAAAGAGTAGGGAGAGAAGGGGGGAAGTCACCAAAATTGGAAATTTTGGCATTACCCAATTGTTCCAAACAATACAACACATGACTGTTTTTGGTGGGACACAAAAAGGAGACATTCAGAGCAGTATCCATCATCCTTTGGTTTCCACAGATGTCTGGATGTTTAAAACAATGATACACTTAGTAAATGAGGACACAATTTACAGTTTTGAGTTCTCCCATTTCAAAGTTTTGCCTAATTTTATTTTTATTGTAATGTTTTACAGGATGAGCTGGATGACACTGCACTGATTTGGAATGCACACACCATTAGGCCATCAAAGAACATCAGTAACCCCAGTGGTCGGCCCAGTGTGATGTATGCACTGCCTGAGCTCTATCACACCAGAGACTTCCTCACCTCAGCCGACACTGAAAGTGTTCAATTGTGCAAGAACAAATGCACTTTCCAACGCCCCATACCATGTGATCCAGATGTAAATGAACTGTGTAATGTTATAATCTCTGAGTCTCAGGTGAACATTCCACGAGACCCATATCAAGCTGTGAACTTGTACATGCATTTAAGAGATGTGATCAGGGCATTACTGTAAGAAGGCAAGGTCATTTTTATCTGAAATATTTACATAATCTGTAGACAATACTGTCCCCAGGGGAAACCTGCAACATTGTGGAAAGTTTTTATACAGAATTACAATTTACCAGACTACAATCTTGACACATAGAAGTCATTAAAAATTAAAACACTTTTGCAAAATTGTTTATGGTTTACAAAATTGTTTATAACTGGAAAGAAAGGCTACCGAGAACATTTTAATTTCCAAATTTGAATTACAATTTACCAGACTACAATCTTGACACATAGAAGTCATTAAAAATTAAAACACTTTTGCAAAATTGTTTATAACTGAAAAGAAAGGCTACCGAGAACATTTTAATTTCCAAATTTGAACCTGTATCAACATGTAAACTCTGTTTAAACTTTATGAAATAAAAAAAGGTTAAAGATTCAGAGAACTTTCCTTACTAACAACCAAAATGGTACTGCATAGAATGGAAATCAGAATGTTTGCTAAAATTTCAAGTACAGTTTCAATTCAAAAAGTTTGAATAGCCTAACTATAATTAATCCATATTTTAAAACATTAAACTCACTTTTTTTCACTGTAAACAAAATGAATGTAAGATTGAATTGACATAAGAATCAAATAATAATTTAGCAATATTAATGGCTGAAGGATTTTAAAACAAAACAAACCTGACCACATATTATGTGGTTACATTTTATGTAATTAACAAAAAAGTTAATGATTCAGTGTAATTTCCATACTAACAAAAAAAGTGACGTTGCATACGATGAAGATTGTTTCAATACTTTGCAGATGCAAAAATATAAATTTAAAAATATACTGAAATTTCTTTTGTGCAAACAAAACACTTACAAGACGACAATCAAATAACAATTAAACAGTACTAAAAGCACTGATGATATGCTTTCAAAGAGAACAAACTTGACCACTTGCTGGAAAACTCTACAGCTATTTGAATAGAAAATGAATGTTATGCCAGTCAAATGTAAATCAACGTAATAATATAGGGGCCATTTAAATTAATAGTTATCCAAAAACTGCTGCTGTTTGTAGCATGCTGTTCTTTTTCACAAGGTACATAAAAGTACCTTCACACAGATTGTTACCAACAAGTTCATAACTACAGACAATCAAGTTCCAAAAAAGTGACTTTGATGACTGAACTATTACTGAGCAGCATCAAATTCACAGGATGTCCATTTCAAAGTAATCACTAGAGAGAATGTTGTCAAACTCTGTGCGGAGGTCTGGGTAAGAACTGTACGTGTAAGATAAATCAAGAGTAGCTCCACAGGTATGAGCTACTGGTCTTCTGCTGAGGCCAGATTCTGCATTGAAGCTTACCTTGATTTGATCAACACATATAACAGAAGAACCAGTGCAGAACCGAAGAAATTTTTCTGCTTTGCTTTGGTCAGCATTTCTGAGATAACGTTGCAGATGATTGAATACCATCTGTTCTTTCTAAGAGCAAATCGCCTGTGTTGTTTGAAGTAGCTGTGCCACTTTTTTGCCAGTGGCCTTCTTTGTGTCATACAGAGACACTAGACTTTCCTGGTCTGGTACTTTCAGCAGTGCAAATGGCATGGCTCTGGAGAAACAATCTATTACATATTTGGGCTCTTGAAGAATTGCTTTGTGAGCCATTGTTTGGATAGCAACTTTCATGGTGTTTTTTGGAGGGATGCAATGGGAGCCCATTCTTGTGAAGAGGTCAAGCAAATCATCTTGACCACATTCCTCCAGTGTGCCTTGACAAGCCTTTGCAACGGCATTTCGTTCAGTCAAAGAAAGGTAGTAATGGAAAGATGACATCAGGACATCGTCATTGACTGAGTCAATTCCATGCATACATGCTAAAATGAAAGCACTGGAAAGCCTTACTGGCAGTACACCAAGGTCAAGTAATCCTTTTACCCAGATCCTTCCTACTGCCTCCCATTCAGCTTCAGAGAAGTCTGGTCTCAATCTAGGAACCCACTCATCTTCCCCTTCACACTGTTCAAGGAACTGATCCCAGAATGCAGTGTAAACTTCTCTGGACACTCCAGCATCATCTACAGCTTTCTCATTTACAAATTCCATCTTCAGAGTATACTGAATTATGCTGCTATCCATGAACACAGCCAAAAGATCTTCTACAACCTTTACCCTGTGTATTAAAGCATGCACAACTTTTGCATTTTCTGAGTTTCCAGATGAAGTTATAAGAGAAAGATGGTTTCCTGAATGGGATGGCAAATTTTCTGGTGGTGAAGGCATTTCACTACCCATCTAGAAAAGGCAAGGTAAAAACAATTTATAACAATTATTCCGAGATTTCTTTATTTTCTACTAATCAGTTAAATAATTTTTCAAAAATAGTTTTCCCACCCTAATATTGTTCTAAACAAGCTTTTCTTTATGGAGGACGAAACCTGCAAAAACAATAAATAAATAAATACACAAATAAATAAATAAATGCATATTTATTTATTTATTTGTGTATTTATTTATTTATTTATTGTTTTTGCAGGTTTCGTCCTCCATATTTCTTTAGTGTCACTGTAAAATGGCACTGTGTAATCAAGTTAAAGTTGCTAAGCAATAATAATAATAATAATAATAATAAATATATATATATATATATATAAAACTGTAATAAAATAACTATTTGATCATTTATTTTAGTTAGATTTTGAATACTTAAGTTTAGTTCCAGATTTTCCAGTTGTGTTACTTCATTCTTTTTTCAGTTAATGACAATGTTTTTATGTAGTTTCTGTTCAAATTGATTTAAGACATATTTTCCTGACACAGTTCAGTCCCCATTCTTTGTAACTGCATGAAAAAAAATTTTTTACAAGCTCCCCATTTGTAATCAGGATGTACATTGTCTCTGGCTTGCTTAGTTGGGGACACTTCATTTCCAGCAATACCGTTGACTTGATTGCAAAGATACTATTTAAACTGAGCTGGATGTTGACATCACTGAATTCAATGATGAACTGTCTTTAACTGAAAAATGAGTGTTTACTATTGTCATTTTGCATTATTGACACTATTTTCCTAATTAATGCTGTTCAGTTGCTTTGACACAATCTGTATTGTTAAAAGCGCTATATAAATAAAGGTGACTTGACTTGACTTGACATTGTAGTTTTAAGGTGATTTATAATATGCATTTAATGCTTGTATTTTGAATATTTAATTTTCAAATCTATACTGTGACATTCGGTCCATCAGGATCACATTACCTGTATGATGTTCTCATTCCATGTTATTTTAACTTCTTGGTCCTCATCTGTTTGTTCAAGTTCTTCTCCTTCGTTCCATTCAACTGTGTCTTCTTTATCATCATCATCTCCAAGATTCTGAACTATGCTGTTGTGTAACGGAGGAATCTGATTGGTCAAGTCGATGAATTCATAGCTTCTCTGAAAATCAAAGTACTCATGTAAATGCTGTGGACTTTTCGATAGCTGTGCACATTGTCTCCACAATGCATCAGTCTCCTCGTCACTTGAGCTGCTTGCGAGTCTTTGGATGGTGTGTGTTCTTTGGATATCTCTGGGTGGTGAAAGAGAGTCGTGTGATGTGCTGGGTGTCTCGAAGGTAAAACCACTCTGAGGAACATCCTTCATTCCTCTTGTACTCTGGGCTTCTGTCCTTACTTGTCTCTGAAAAACATTCAATATAACATTCATTGATTAGCATTTAATTCCAAATTAAATTATGTCAGGGCTGCAGCAAACAATTATTTAGACAATCGATTAATCAGCGGTTGTTTCACAGATTAATCAGTAATCAGTAGGCTTTGATCGATAATTCAGTTATACATAGTCTATACATTTTCATATACACATAGAGCTACTTTATAGCAAAAAATCAAATTGTAATTCTAACTGAAAGTGACACTGTTTTTTCATTATTAATACTGTAAAGCTGCTTGCTTTAAAGCAATGTATTGCATAAAGCATCATATAAATAAACGACTTGACTGGATTGCAGACTGCAGAGCTGGTGCAAACATATCAAAATCGCTATGATCAGATGTATTCTCACCACATTTTTGTAGTGTGTTTATTTTGTCATTGAAACAAAAGCACACTGCAACACTGGGAAGTTTGCTAACAGTAAACCATAACAAAAACATTTATGTTATCGTTATTGCTGTCAACGTTGTGGATAATGGGGACTAATCGTTTTAGCCCTAAATGATCATGAACAATTCTTCTGTGACTGTATTTACAAATGAAGCCCAAAATACATTCAAATAAATTCAAGTCAGAGTCTTCATGATTTTACTAACCTTCCTCTTGGTGTCTTTGTTAGATGAAAGTCTGCCATCCAATAAATGTGTGCTTGTATCCTCAAGATCACTGTCATGTCCATGCGATGACACTTTTGCAGCAGGTCTCTCAGTATCACTGTCTAATCCATCCTGTAGTAATGAGTTTTCATTACATTCTTCTTTATCACCATCAGATAAAGATTCTACATCTGTGAGGCACACCTCTTGTTTAGTGCAAATGTAAAATCTCAACAATTTCAGTTTGGTTAGTTCATACAGATCTCCAACAGCGCTGTCCATGGGAATGTGGTTTCTTTTAAAATCACAAACATGAAAAGTGAAGTCTGTTTCTGGACCTTTTGGTGACTCTCCATTTGGGAATAAAAGGTTCTTTCCCATTTCCATTATTTGTAAAACAGTTGTCTTTTTTTGAACTGTCAAATGCCTAGTGCCACCACCATTATTGGTCCTCACTTGTTGGTATCCATTATGGCCGAAGTGAAGCCACCCAATTTCAGTTCTCCTGGAGGTTCTTTCTGCAGATACATTTTTGTGTCTTGCCATTAAATTCTTTTCCACATGCTTTTCCATGCAAAGCTTTAGCGGACTTTGATCCCAGTTTCCTTGCTTCAATTTTAGCTCTCAAATTTGGTAACAGAGATTCTTTATCAGAGCAGGCCGCTGTTTGTTGCCAGAAGGAGATGACAGCCAGTCGGTCACCATATGAACTAATATACTTTGCCATTTGCTCATCAGTCATAACAGAGAGCACAGACTTGTCAATCTGAAAATGCCATGAAAATGTAATTTTATAGATTAGTTTTTGAAAGAACAAATGCACCCATTAATTCATAATACATTAATTAACAGTCTATATTTATTAACATGTATTTTTTTAAACATGTAACAACATTTACATAGAAAAGTAACAGTGAAAGTCACATCTATTCATCTACATGCCATGCTGATTTTACAGTGGAGTTCAGTATATGAACTTTGAGAGTATAAATAATCTAACAAGCTAGCTAGTAGCTACTGGTAATTACAGTTGAGTGAAAATGTTGGCACCCCCAACCCCCCAAATTCAATTACTTTTAGTACTGTCCTGATGAAGCTCTTTCACATTACACATATTTACATCTATTCCACATGCAATACCTCATAATTACTATGAATAATACAAATGAAATTGAATATGAAAATGAAACAATTATACCAATGAAAGGGTTTAAAAGATTATATCCTCTTGATCATTTTTATATGTTGCCTGTTTGATGATGATTAATAACTGTTTGTTTGTTCTGTGATAGTTGCACATGTCACACCCCTACTCGTGCCGGTCCACGGGTTACCTGTAGCTGCTTGCAAATGCACTTATTTTCAATTTAAAAACCCTCTTGTTCCTTCTCATTTTTAATTATGCTCTATATACACTCATTTAACTAATAATCAAACTTGGAGTTGTGAAATTCAGATATTGATACATCTCTTATGACAAATTACTTGAATGCGTCTCATTTTGTAAGTTAGTTTGGGTAAAAGTTTTTGCTATGAATAAATGTAAATTTACAGTTGTGTGTTGTGAGTCTTCCATACAATGCTTGGAATCCAGCTTTTCACAATTTAATTTAAAGGACTCAAGGACTCAGTGATGCTCAAGAAGGCAACACACTATATTAAACTATAGTAAACTTTTCATCAGTATACGGTCTGTGTAATTTATATGAGATAAAAGGTTTTTTTCTTTATTTTTACACATCATTCATTGCAGTTTACACAGATCATATAACTTTATCAAAAGAATACATTCTCTGGGCTCTAGTGTGTTGAATTCTTGATTATCAATGGATATGTGTATTGTCTGTAATAGTTCTGTATGAGTCCCTTTAACTGTCCTTAGTGAAAAAGCAGGTTCTCAGCATCATATAGGACACAACTAAAAAGTGCAGAAAATGCTGGGAAACCAAAGAATGTGCAGTAGCTCAAGGATTTTGCTTAACAACAGTGAGCACTTTTATGTCTCAAGACAAAGCAGGAACTCATGAACAGCGCACCAAAAATACAGTCAATGATCAATGATCATCCAGGAAGCCAAACATTCTAAAAACCAGGGGGATGCACATTTTTGTTCAGTTTTCATTTATGTTATTGTGGAATAGATGCAAGTATCTTCTGTTAAGTAAAATACCTATATTAGGCTATTTTACAGTTCTAAAACTGTGCAATGTAAATTATCTCTTATTTTTGCAAACTTATACACTCCTAGGCCCTATAAGATAACTTTTATTCCTAGTGAACCAGGTAACTATCGAAGGTACATAATTTCTGATTCTACATGACGCTTGGCATGTGGAGAACTGTCATGTGGTAATATACTGACAGCCTCTGGTTGCCCTGGCTAGCAATAATTAAAACATAGCCTAGGCCTATATGTGGCCCTTTTTTATGGATAGGATATCAAATGTTTAACGTTACACATACGGGGATACACGTCAACACCTTAGGTTGCATCATTAAAAATAGCTATCATTTACATATTAGCTAAATATAGGTCCATTGGTCTTTAATGAAACATTACCCACCTTGTCCCTTTTCATGAGGATGATGTCCTCTTCTGGAACATCTCGTGACCTTAAAAACTCCTGCAGATCGTCCTCCATCGCAGAGCTACAACAATTATTATTAATAATTATTGTATTGTAATCACGTTGGGGTTTGGTTGATTCTTCTATTTAAATAATAAAAAACGACTTTAATATATGATAACTTACCGCGAAAGACTGACAACCTTTCTCCAATGCAGCTGCGTACATCCAAGATCACTCAAGTGATGCTATGCAAACAAAAGCGCGAAGCACCACGCAGGCCTCTCGCGAAACGTGAGTTCTCGCGAGAGAAGTTTTGCGAGGGAACGCAAATATCTTTTCGAGAGAACGCAAAGTTTCTCGAGGGAACGCAAAAGTTTTGCAAGAGAACGTTAAAAAAAAAATTTTTTTTTCCCTCCCACCCCGAATTTTTTTCACTCACCCCGATTTTTTTCCCACCACCATGTCCCTTTGGGGGCTCCGTACAATTCTGACTTTTTTGTTCTCTAAATTCTGTTTATATCTCACAATTCTGACTATTTTCTCTAAATTCTGCATTTATATCCCACAATTACGACTTTTTTCTCTAAATTTTGCGTTTATATCTCACAATTCTGACTATTTCTCTAAATTCTGCGCTAATATCTCACAATTCTGACTTTTTCTCTAAATTCTGTTTATATCTCGCATTTCTAACTTTTTCCCTCAGAATTCTGAGTATACATCTGGCAATTCTGACCTTTTTTTTCTCTAAATTCTGTTTATATCTCACAGTTCTGACTATTTTCTCTAAATTCTGTTTATATCTCACAGTTCTGACTATTTTCTCTAAATTCTGTTTATATCTCACAGTTCTGACTATTTTCTCTAAATTCTGTGTTTATATCTCACAATTCTGACTATTTTCTCTAAATTCTGTGTTTATATCTCACAATTCTGACTATTTCTCTAAATTCTGCGTTAATATCTCACAATTCTGACTTTATCTCTAACTTTTGCATTTTTTTCTCAATTCTGTGTTTATATCTCACAGTTCTGACTATTTTCTCTAAATTCTGTGTTTATATCTCACAATTCTGACTATTTCTCTAAATTTTGCATTTCTATGTCGCAATTCTGACTTTCTCTCCAAATTTTGCATTTCTATGTCGCAATTCTGACTTTTTCTCTAAATTCTGAGTTTATATTGCATAATTCTAACTTTTTTCCTCAGAATTCTGAGTAAATATCTCGCATTTCTGACTTTTTTCTCTAAATTCTGAGTTTATATCTGGCAATTTTGCCCTTTTTTCTAAGAAATCTTTCTGTTGCAATTCTGACTGTTTCTCTAAATTCTGCATTTAGTACTCGCAATTCAGATTTTTCTCAGAATTCTGAGTTTATATCTCGCAATTTTTACTTTTTTCTCAGAACTCTGAGATTTTATCTCACAATTCTGACTTTTTATCTCACAAATATAACTTTTCTTCTTAAAATTTCCATTTCTGAATTCTGAGATAAAAATTTGCAATTAGCTTTTACATTTTTTTATTATCCTGTGGTGGAAACAAGCTTTTTGGTTCCTTTGGGTGATTCACAAATGACTTGGCAGGAACAGCCATCAATAAATCATGGGCTGAGAAGTTCATCTGAAAAAACATGTTCATCAAAAAACTCATTCTAATTTCTCGTGCACATACTTTTTATTTATCAGTTTTTTTTGTTTTGTTTTTACCTTATAGTTAGTTGTCTGTTTTGTTTATCGGCCACTGGTTATTATATTATTTTAAATTTTTACTTTTAACAATACTTTATGCAAAACATTACTTTAAAAACATTAACTGAATTCTCAATGAATTTGAACAGGTACTTAGGCCTACATTTACACTTAGATTTGGTAAGAAATCATGCATGCATGACTATTTTAGTGATTTTGTTTAATCACTGTTGCACATTAGGGTTGTGTATATTTGTGCTTTCTGTATATATATGTATATATATATATATCTTTTTTTAACAAGAAAATGCATTCAGTTATTTTGAATGCTCTCATATGAATATCAAACATGAAAATGAGGAAAAAAGTAAACCAGTTCATGGGAGAGTCTTTGAATACTTCACTATTTCCAGCAGCTCCTTTGGGTGATTCGCAAATTACTTGGCAGGAACAGCAATCAATAAAACCTGTGCTGTGAAGAAGTTCATCTGTTACGTCGGTTTGATGATTGATTTCAACATTGAGCCGATTCGTTTCAAACGTTTGCTCTGCACATTAACTATTCATATTCATAATCTGTGTCAGTCACAGTGCTGTAAAAAGCCAGCACTAATATTATTTTGAAAATACATCAAAGTGAAACAGAGATTGACCAAAATCACACTAAAATAGACCTTATGACATGCACATATGATTTCATAACAAATCTTAAATGCAGGTGTGAATAGCAAATGCATTGTTTTTTGCATAATTCATTATATACTGTATATATTATCTTGCCGTCTACACTGTAATAAAACAACCATGCATTTTAAAGCGAAAAAAGAGTATTAAATCCATTTTATCTAGTTAAATTAATTAAAAAAATAACCAAAAATGTGGCATGGAGCCGATTCGTTTCAAACGTTTGCTCTGCACATTAACTATTCATATTCATAATCTGTGTCAGTCACAGTGCTGTAAAAAGCCAGCACTAATATTATTTTGAAAATACATCAAAGTGAAACAGAGATTGACCAAAATCACACTAAAATAGACCTTATGACATGCACATATGATTTCATAACAAATCTTAAATGCAGGTGTGAATAGCAAATGCATTGTTTTTTGCATAATTCATTATATACTGTATATATTATTATCTTGCCATCTACACTGTAATAACAAAACAACCATGCATTTTAAAGGGAAAAAAAGAGTATTAAATCCATTTTATCTAGTTAAATTAATAAAAAAAATAACCAAAAATGTGGCATGAATTAAAGAGTATACCAATAGCATGATTTTTGTAGATAAACACAACATTTACGATACATTTTTCTTAACCAACATGTTTAAAATGCTTAAATAGTGAACTACACCAAACAATCGGAGATATCACAATATAAGAACTGCACTGAATATATTATGATATTATTGTATATTAAGGTCCTTGCATTGAGATCAAGTGGATCCAGTGTTATTTATAAATAATTATAATAATAAATAATTGTATTTATTTATATTTTAAATAAGTTTTTTATTTTCATATGTATATTTAATAATTTTGTTATATGCTTTTGTCATTTTATTATTATTATTTTTTTCAATATATAAATTTTTTTAGCTTTAGTCATTTTAGTACTCCCAAATTATTTCAATTAGTTGCAAAGGCAATTTCGGCTTAAGTACTTTAAGTTTTTTTTTATTTTTTTTTATCTAATATTTATTTTATTTCAAAATATATATTTTTTTTTTTACCAAAATAAATTTTAGTTAATAATAATAACAACAACAACACTGATTGGATTGCAGGAGTGTGAAGACACCAGGCAGGAGTTTAAGGCTTTTAGAGACCCTGCGTCACTCTCTGCCAGACAAATGACCTGCCATTATCTGAGAACATGAAGATCTCGGTCCTCTCAGAAACCGAACCCAACAAGAAACATCAATTACACATTTTTAAACAACTCCGTTAGAGTACCAATATATATATATTTTTCCAGAGTGCTCTGCTCTGTGGTGAGTAATGTTCAGCTCTTGTCAAATCTGCTGTGGCCGCTGGCAGCACGCCGGTACAGAAAGCACCCTGGCCGTGAAGCTTGGCAGTGTTTGTCAGAGAAAAGTCCAGCACTCGAATTCTGAGATCATTACTGAAAACATCTCCACAGGCACTCAGTGACCGCGTCTCATGGACCAGAGCTTCATTTCTCAGCTTAAAGGACTTGTCCATGACAATTCGGATTTTGGAGGTCTGGAGCAAGTTTTTGGTTAGCAATGCAGTTGGAGCTGAAGGAAATGTCACCACAGGAACACACAATCTCAACCCATTTACTAGCGACTATCCTGAGTAGTGACATCAAAGACAGTGAAGAGGAAAAGGTATGCTTTTAAAAGCCTGTAAAAAGACATATAGCCCAATTAGTAAATAATGCTTTAAAATATTTTGCATCCAATGAAAGCCAAGTTTGGAATGGCGCATAATTGGCTCAATTTTAAATTGAGTGAACTAGCTCTCTCGTCTCTCTGGTCTAATGAAATAATGAGACAGGCTAAACCCAACAGGTTCAATTATTGAAATGTTTGCTTGTGGATTTTCCATTGTCGAGTCTCTCGGCACAGTTTTTCCTGACACATCCGTGACCCGGTTTAACTCCACTGAAAGTGGAATGAAATATTAATGGAATTAAGTGACAATCATAAGCTGGCAGTAATCTCAAGCCATTCGTCAGCGCAGCTATTACAGCCTGCCAGAGACTTTGAGCGTTTAAAAAAAAAACAAAACAAAAAAAAACACACCAGCTCCTAATAAACTACGTCAATTCTGAACTATGCTATATATAAAACTTAATAGCACATCTTTGCGTTAATGCGCTTTTATATGTAACGCAGTATTATCATAAGTATTGCCTGATATGAAAGGAAAAATAAATAAATAGTACCAGAATAAAGTTTATACACGCGCACACACACACAAAGATATATAAATAAAAACATAACAGAATATAGTAAAATTAAAATAACATTTAAATGAAAAAAAATCTAACAATTAAATGAAAATAATAAATATTAACAGAATTGAGTAAAATATTAAAATTATATTTAATACTATCATATATTAATAAATTAAATAAATATAAATAAAAAATCATATATTTATATAAAATAAATATGACAATTAAATATAAAGTACTTATTATAGTACTTTATATATTATAAAGTCTTACCACTAATAATGTATATAATAAATTAAGTATCGCATTTGGCTGATGTGCATGAATAAATAAATAAAATAAATAAATAAATGTAAATAAATAAATAAAATATAGTGAGATAATGATCATTATTATTTTAATTTGGTATTGCATCCAAAATAAAAAGTTTGTGATTACAATGTGTGTGTACTGTGTATATTTATATGTATATATAAACACACACACACACACACACACACTTAAAAAATAATGACAGGTCTATACATATTTATATATGATTTATATTACACAAATGTAAACAAATACTACACATATTTCTTTCATATATACTGTACATGTATGTG